CTTTGCACAATGTCTTCATCAATACCCTTTTATGTCTTTTAAATGCACCTGGGGAGCTTTTTTAAACATACTGATGCCTGGGTCTTCCCTCCAGGAAGCCTGATGTCACAGGTGTGCAGAGCAGCATGCACCTGGGTTTTGTTTAGTTTTGTTTTTTATCCTCACCCGGGGACATGCTTATTGGTTTCAGAGAGAGGGGAACGGAGGGGGAGAGAAGGAGAGAAACATCGATCGGTTGCCCTTCGTGTGCCCTCCAACCAGAGACCAAACCGAAACCTGGGTGTGTGCCAGGACCAGGAATCGAACCCATGACTTCTGGAAAGCTGTCTACCAGACCAGGCTCTGCCTGTGATGCTGGGAACTCAGCACACAGCCTGTACCCAGCTGCAGTGATTGACATGTGAGGGGGACGTCCCCAGGGGGAACTGTGGAAACGGCACAGGAAAAAATTGCTATTTAAGGAGAGAGGGCGGAGAAGAAAAGTGCCTATGTTTTTTACAGTGATAATGACCATTTGCACACTTGCCTAAAATAGCTTAGATCCTAGGACCCAAACTGTGGAGGGAGGGAGGGAGGATACAGGAGCGGACGCTCCATGTCCTGTGATCCCGCACGAATGGGCGAATGAGCGGAGGCTGCAGGCGCTCCGGCAGATCTCGGCTGCCCTGGTGAGGGCCTCCCACACCCCACCCCCAACCCCGCCTCTACAACAGCTCCCACTCCTGGGCCCCCAGTCATTCCAGGGCCTGCTGCGGCTGGCAGAAGATGAGGGGGTGGTCTCAGCCCCTGGCTCCCCCTCTCATCCTCTCCCAGGCAAGCCCCCTTCACTTCTCACACACTCACCAGGCAGTAGCTACTCGGTTTCTAGTCTGAGCTGGGCCCCAGGGGCAAGGAGACCAACCGCCCCAGTTTACCGGACTGTCCCTATTTAGCCCTGCCAGTCTTGTGACCCAGGAAACCTCTTCAGCCCAGGCAGACTGGGGTGACTGGCCACTGTGCCTGGAGGGGAACACCATCTAGGGTGTTGAACTTGTGAGTGGGGGGAGAACAATGACTGCAGAATCAAGGGGCCTGGATGAACGCCTCCCTCCATTTGCAATCAGCAAAATGAAGCCAAGTCACTCATCCAAGATCTCAGAGCTGTTGCCAGGGGCACTAAAGCCCCAGCCTGTCCCAGGTGCCAAACGGGCATAGCTGGCATTTCCTCCGAGGCAGAGGGACACAGTAACCGACCTTGTGGGCCTCTCCTTGCCTGGCAGCCTGAGCTCCCAGCCCTTGAGGGTCCCCATAAGCCAGGACTATGACTGTCCGTGCAGGTGCAGGAGGTCTGGCCCTGCCAAGGGCTAGCTTCTTCCTTTACCCCCTTCTCCTCCCTCCTTGCTTGCCTCCAGACAGGACACTGCAAATTAGCTCAGATCCCATCAGAGGGACCCTTATTCTTAGAGGAGCGAGTGAGCATCACAAACAGTGTGCTTTCTGGGGGATCCCTGGCTCAAAGCCCCCTCCCCACCTGCCTGGTTTATTGCAAGGCTTTTGACCTGCAAGTTGGGAGACTCGAGGGTGTAGGAACAATGAGTTACAAGTTGCTCACAGATTAAGGAATTTTTATGTGATAAATAAGAAAATAATTTGACTTTTTCAGCTGATTGGTCGCCTAGTGGTCTTCTTCCTTATTTGCATCAGGGTAGCTGAGTCAGGGAAACAAGGAAGTCCAGAGGTGGTGTGAACTTGGTCTTTGAGGACTGGCTGGTGCGCCCTGCAGGTTTCTGAGCCTCGCTGTAAATTTCTGTAAGGGCAGGTCAAGTTTCCTTTATGTGCCTCTGTCGACTGTCTCTATTTTGTCCTTGACACAAGTGACTCCATTTTAGTTTGGTTCAAGAAGGGTGAAACTGGAGGAAGGCCCCATAAGAGGGCCCAACCCAATCTTCCCCCTCAGACGCCTCCTCATTCTGCACTCTGAGGGGGCAGTGCCTTCCCGGGAGCCGGCTGGGACAACCTTTGCGTCAGCGCTGTGGAAGCCAGGCATTATAGCCTTTGATTGCTCAGGCAAACTTCATTTGTTGACATGTAAATGAAAATTATCTTTATTTTTTAAAAATGTTTATCGTTGACACTATGACAAGTGTCTCTCATCTCCCTTCCCCTTGCCCACCTCTCAGATTGGCTTTGATAAGAAGCTTTGTGAAATCCAAAATGCTGGGCCACCCGTTCTTTTTCTGGAGAAAGATAAGAGCAAGGAGGCTAATCGATATGTAGTTAGGTCCAGGTATAAACACAGATCCAGGTAGGGCAACAGTCTTTTAAGATTAAACAGATCTCAGTGTGCATCTCCCATTGCCTTCATAATAAAAGTCTGTCTTTGTTGACTGCTAGTTAACGAGAAGCACCACGGATGACACAGGTTAGCCACGCAAACAAGCAAACCATGTTTAATCCAAGGAATAGTGTTTTCCCCCTCAAATCATAAAATTTTTAGTTCAGGAAATTGAATTTGCTCACTCAAATCGTAAAATGAGCTCACTGGCTTTGGGTTAATTTAATCCAGCCCTCTGCACATGGTGCGGATTCCCTGGCTCACTCTGCCCATTCTTATGCGAGTCCAGTAAATAAACTGTTTTAAATCCAAACACGTGAACACTTACTCTTCCCTAACAAAATCATACGCATTTGCAGTCAAGTTTGATTTCCGTATTAGAGCAATCCCAAGGAAGAGAACCAGGTTTTCCGCAATTTCTGAATGTTCCTCTTCCTAGCATATTGGAGAGTTTGGGCATAACTAAACGGTACAAAATAGATACCTGTTAAGTCTGAAAACTGAATTCTATTCCACATTGTCACGGGGGTACTTGTTATCCAGAGGAACATCTTTCTGTAAAACAATGGGCTGTATACCAAATTCTACCATTTTTACATTTTTAAGATTATTACAATTTTATTTATTTATTTATTTTTAGAGAGGGAAGGGAGGGAGAAAGAGAGAGAAACATCAATGTGCAGTTGCTGGGGGCCGTGGCCTGCAACCCAGGCATGTGCCCTGACTGAGAATCAAACCTGCGATGCTTTGGTTTGCAGCCCGCGCTCAATCCACTGAGCTACGCCAGCCAGGGCAGATTCTCACATGTTGATTGCTGCTTTTAAATTGGGGTCTGTGTCAGTATTATATTTCATTCTTCTCACCCTTTGCCTTGTACAGATAGGCTCCAATAATGGGTGGCTGCCACGTAAATAGAGACACCTCATTTCCTGGGGTAACATTTTGCCGTTTACTCAGCCTGTCTCATTCAGTCATGGGAATATCTTGCGTGGCGGGTTACCCTCCCATTTTGCGGATGAAAAAACGGAGGCTCTGAGAGGTTATGTGACTTGCTGAAGGTAACCAGCAAGTTAAGAGATGATGTCAGGGTGCAAAGCCAGGTTTTCTGTGCCAAGTCACGTGTCCTTCTGGCACGCACAAGGTCACATCTGGGAACTGAGCTTCTCCCCTCCACAGAGGCTGCATCTGCGGGTGCAGCCAATGCGAGATGTTGAAGAGCTTTGAATTTCCAACCGCATTTCTGTTATGACAGAGGCACGTGCCTCGAGCAGCATGGCTTAGGAAATCACATTTTAACTCTCTGATCTACACTTCTCAAAAACATTTTCTTCTTGCAGAGGGACACTTGGGCCATTACCTGGTTAACGTTTGCCCATTGCTGCAGGAAATTCATTAGCTTGAGAGGAACATGATTGCAGGGGTCACACTTGAAAACAGAAGGTGGGGCCATTAATTGTTAACCAGATCACCCAAAAGATACCAAGGAGAACTATTATTGGAGCTGTTGGGGCCCTCAGGACAGAATGAATGGAGCTTGTGAGCCATTTTGGCAATTTGGGGAGCATAAAAGGCACTGCTCCTGCCCTGAGCATTCACAGCACCCCTACAAGAGCGCAGTGGGAGAGAGCAACATGCTATATGCATTCAGTTATGACTCTCGCACTTATTTAAATGTATTGAGTCATTCCCAAACCTATGAGGAGACAGACTCATGCTTGGTCAAGGCACTGGCATCTGTTTGCAATCCCGTAAAGTCAAAGCTACACTCTTGGGGTTCTGGTGAGAAGCAGGATGCAGGGCTGCCCTTAGCACTATTGATACAATCATTCCTTGGGGAGAACCAAGGTAATCCTGAAATCCCCATGGTGTAAGCCAGAGTGGACCTCTCAGAAGACCCGGGCAATTCCGAGAAGAGAAGAAGCAATATCTGAAAAGCATACTAGAAGTGAGGAGAAAAAAGTGAGTATCTTCCAGGTGCCAAGAACTGTGCCAAGTGTTCCGTGCGATCAAATGAATTTTTGTAGCAGAGCAAATCTACGAGTTGGGTTATTATGTCCCTTCCACAGGTCAGCAAACTGAGGCCTGGTGAGATAACTTACCCAGATTCACACTGGTAAGTGGCAAGGCCAGATTTACACCTGGGAGCCCCCAGCGCAAAACAAGAAGAAAGAAAACCCATTCATTCCTGGCTCCTGCTGCCCCTTCCGTCACCACCCACAACCTTCTCTCTCCCAGGACACACCTCACCCCTCATCTGTGTCACTCGGTCCTGTCTCTAGAGACCTGGCGCTGAAAACTGAGCTCCTCGTTCTAAGAATGACATCAAGATCCCTCTGTAGCGTCTATGACTCTCTTGTGTTTTCCATTTTCAACATGGACATAGTTCAGGGTATGACCTGAATGCCAAGTTCAGTGGTAATACCTGACTTTCTATAGAAGTTCTGGGAGCAATCTGGTTGGAGGGAAGGTGGGAGGGACAAAGAGATTTTTCTTGTAACCTTCTATAAGAGTGCCGTGACTTCTTATGTAACTAGGATTGATCACCAAAAAATTGACATAATAGCTAAGAGGTAATTAATAAAAATATATACTTAACTCACAAATTAACTTAATAAAAACATGTACTTATTACATTTAAAAAAGTTAGCTGAGTTAAAGAGAAGCACAGGTGCTGTGGGGGTTTTTATTAATTTTTATTTTTTCACATGTCCAACCATCCATCAGTTATTCCATAACAAGGCAGTACCGCATGACGGTTGAATGTTGGCTCCAAAGGTCAGACCACATGGGTTTGAATTCTGGCTCCATCATTTATTGGGTCATCTTGGGCAAGTTATTTTGTATCCTCATGCCTTGGTTTTCGATCCACAAAATAAAGATAATAACAGTACCTTTCTCATCGTGTTGTTTTATTAAATAAAACTTAGTGCTGGATAAATTATAAACATTCTCAATAAAGGTTACTTCATATTATTCCATGTGTTAGCATCAGCCTGAGGTTTTTCAACATGTGCTGTATAGATATTTTCCCTTCATTAATTCTTGTTAGGAATGCTGGAGGCGATGGCAGGTGAAGATCATGAGAAACTGAAGACACCCCTCCAAACCACCTCCTGGGACCTTCACCAACTTTAAATGGGTCTTACCAAAAAAATGTATCAGGAGCAAATAGCAATGTATCAATAGCAGGTTAATAAATTACTTAAGATGCATGTTATTCTTCTAAGCCTCAAAAATTAAAATAAAACGGAGAATAGAAGTGACCGTGTTGAACATGAGGAAAAAGCGGAGATGCAAGCACGGAATCAACACAGACTTTACATGTTTTGAAGAAAGCACGTTCCTTCTCATCAAACGTGTATGGGAGGAACTGACATGTGGAAGTAATTCAGACTTACTTTGGATATAATCGTACAATTCTGCAGTGTTATTTTTGCCACTAGCTGCTCTCCCAGCACCCCCTTTTCTGTTACAATTGCAAGAGGCAAGCAGAAACATCTGAAGAGTTAGAAGAGGGCAACAGCAGCCCCCCACCCCCTGCAAAGCGCTCACGTGGAAGCATTCCCCTGCGGCTCTGCGTTCACAGAATTTTATTGGCGTAGAAGTACTGCAGGAGCTCTGGATGGCAGTGGCTCTGAAAGAGATTAGTGAAGGCACAGGTGAGGCAGGGAGTCAACGAACCCCACCCTGCCCTGACTACAGAATGCAGACAATCATCCAATGCAGAGCATGAGGACCAGTGACCTGTACATCCTCAGAGTCAGAGGCGTCATTGCCTGGGCCATCAGATGATGTGGAATGTAACTGTCAGTATATCTTGTTCCTAATCTTCCAGGTGTTTTGTCACTTACTCAGCATTATGGGCCAATTACAATTGAAACATAATTGATCGGAGTCCTTTATGGGGGGAAGGGCAAACTCCTTGGTGCCCTGCCACCCTCTGCATTAATACCGGGACGGCAGTGACCTCTGAGAGGATCCCCCCACCCTGGCTCACTCACCAGCTGCCAGCAGAGCTTGGGGTTCCCTTGATCTCCTCCACTCTGGAAGCCGCGTTCCCTCCTCTGTCTCAGATAGGGAGAACAGGCTCGAAACGTGGTTTTGCAAGCCTGAGAAAAATAATATTGCCATCTTATTGTCAAAAACATCAGAGAATTCTTTCTATTTGTTTTCAGTTAGAGTTTACATTTGCTATTACTTTGTATTACTTTCAGGTGTACAGCATAGTGGTTAGACAATCATATGCTTTACCAGAGAATTCTATAATCCCAGCCAAGGAAGAGGACGGCACCCGATCTGGGGTCTGGAGGCCACTGAGAGTGTGAAAGGGTCTGCAGGAAATTTGAAAACTTGAACCGTGTCTATAATTTGGGGCTGGTGGGAAGGACATTTATTGTCCCATCCAAAGTAGTACTGGATTCCTAAAGCTAACCTCCCTAATCTCTCTCCCTCTCTCTCTCTCTTTCTCTCTTCATCTCTATCTCCATCTCTATCTCTCTCTCCCCACTCCAATTTAAAGAAGACAAGTGGTTTGGTGAAACCATTTGTTCCCAATGGTTTTGAAACCACCACCCAGTCCCAGTCCAAAGCAGCCCTGAGGTTGATCCGACCCTGTTAGGACACATTTTCTCCAATAATAAAACGAAGGATCCATAGGAAATTGAGTGGCCAGGAACAGGAAGTCTACACTAGATGCACCGACAAAAGCTAACAGGCCGGAATAAATATCCTCGGTATGTGGACGGCTGCCCCTTGGTTTAAACCTGAGCTTCCTGTGCCATCTCCACTGACCTGAACCCCTCCAGCACCGCCAGGGGCTGGGACTGGGCAGGAGGGGCAGGCGCAGGTGGGAAGCAACACGCCTTCTCCGAGAGCGATCCCACAGCGAGGGGGCACTTTCTCCAGGATTCACATGGTGTGCTGCTTTACTGTTTGTAGCTGAACTGGCTGGAGCTGAGAGCCCGGTGTCTGGACCCTACAGGGCTGCACTGAAACTCCCTTGGTCCACGGCACAGAGGTTTCTGGCAGGTGGTTGGAGAGTCGGGGACTTACCTTGGCAACCTGGGCATTTCTATCCTTTAAATGGATCAGGAGGGAATCCTGAGTCTGCTTAACTTGGTAGGTGAAAAATTTCTTCCATTTCCGCCCAGCGAAGGCAGCCAACTGCCCAAACAAGACAAAGGCCGAGTGTCTCAGGCTGTCATTCTCCTGCGGTTCCCCGGGGAACAAAACAACAAAACCCAAGCCATTACAAACAGACAAGTGCATGGGAGGAAACCACAGCGGGTTGGGGCCCATGGGGCTCAGATCCAGCCACACACGTGGCTGGCTGGGGTGGGGGATGGGACAGAGAGGGAGAGAGGGGCTGAGTCTTCAATGAACCTCTTCACCAGCAGAGAAGAGGATTCAACTTGGGGATCCCTAGTGCTCCCTCCAGATCCCCACATTTTTTCTTCATTACTTACTGTTCTGGAGATAAAATATGTTAATGTGGTTCAAAATTCAAAATAACCATAAGGGTTTATCTCTAAAAGTCAGTCTTTTTCCTACCCCTCTCAACCTGCCATGAAATGTTCCTCCCCACAAGCTAATAGAGTGGATTTTGTGTGTATCCCTCCAGAAAACTAAGAAAAAGCAGGTATTAGACAGTCCTTTGCAATGTTTTTACAAAAGTAAAAGCATCCCATGCCAATGCTCTGCACCTTCATTTTTTCCATCAAACAATATAGCTGGGAGCTCTTTCTAAGTCAATAGATACATGAATTGTTTTTTATTTTGGAGGTTTTTTTTGTCTGCTCCATAATGCATTTGACCTGTTCTCTGTTTATTCCTCCCAGCATTTTTGCCAGGTCATCTCTCTTACCTTTGGTCTGAATTTCTCCCATCGGTGATAGAAAGAACAGTTACGTTTGTTCCCCAATACTCAGACAACTCTCCCTCTCTGCTGTGAATCTGACCAGCTGGTTTGTCCCTGAGTGCATGTCGGCAGGTTCAGCCCTTTCTTCCTGTCCAAGGTGAGCTGTCTGATCCAAAGTATCTCCCTTCCCAGGTGAGGAAACTGAGGGCCAGGGTCACATCGTCAGGTAACGGAGAAGTCACCTGACTCTTGGTGCAGGGGCTTTTATGTCAGTGTTTCCTGGTTCTGTCCAGCTCCAGGTGAAGCAGAGGGGACAGGACTGGGAGGAGGCTCCTCGGGGTAAAGGAGCAACCTAGGACTGGGAGTCACAGCAATGTGCTGAGACTGAAGACCACTGATGATTTGGTGAAATATTTAAAATATTGTTTAGCCCATGTGACGTATCCAGAAATTGTGTTTATGTTGCAAGTTCTCCACTGCTGTGTGTGTGTGTGTGTGTGTGTGTATGTTACTGCAGTGGGCTTACAGGTTAGTTTAGAAGGAAGGTATCTCAGAGCCCTAACAGTTTCATCAGTGCCCTTTTTGCTTAGCGTGTCTTGTCACCTGGCAGTTAAGAGTACAGTAGCCTGGAGTCAGCAAGCCTGGTTTCATATCCACTTACTGGTTCTGTGAACCTTCCACAAGTTACCTAAGCTCTCTGTGCCTTAATTTCTTCATCTACAAAGTGAAGATAGTAAGAATGCCCACCTCCCAGGGTTATTGTGAAGATTATGTGACGTAATCCATGTCAATTGCCGAGCACCATGCCTGGCACACAGTATAGGCTCCTGAGATACCAACTGTTGTTATTGCTACGTTTATAAGAGAGCATTGACTACATGCTGGTGTGGCCGCCATCCTCATCATCGGTGTACATATATCCACTTCTCTCTTACAATGGCAACTTGGGGGGCGTTTTTGGAATCCTGTTCTTCTTTTTTTTTTAAAGATTTTATTTATTTATTTATTTATTTATTTTTAGAGAGGGAAGGGAGGGAGATAGAGAGAGAAACATCAATGAGTGGTTGCTGGGGGTTATGGCCTGCAACCCAGGCATGTACCCTGGCTGGGAATCGAACCTGCGACACTTTGGTTCGCAGCCTGTGCTCAATCCACTGAGCTACGCCAGCCAGGGCTTGAATCCTATTCTTCTTTATGTCTTCCCTCAGTGCAGTCCCAGTCTCTCAGTAAGATCTGTTTGATACAGTCCCATTCATTTAGTTTTGTCTTTACTTCCCTTGCCTTGGGGGTCAAAGTCATAAAATCTTCTCTAAGATGAACGGCTATAAGTTTAGTACCTATGTTTTCTTCTGTGTAACTTATTTAGATCTTATATTTAGGTCTTTGATTTTGAATTAATTTTTGTACATGGAGACAAACTGTAGTCTAGTTTCATTCTTTTGCATGTGGCTTTTCAATTCTCCCAGCACCATCTACTAAAGAGGGTTTCTTTTCTCCACTGTATGTTTTTGGCACCTTTGTCAAAAATTATTTGCCCGTATACATGTGGTTTTATGTCTGGGCTCCCAGTTCTGTTCCATTGGTCCGTGAGTGTGTTGTACTTCCAGTACCATGCTGTTCTAATTATTATTGCTCTGTAGCATAATCTGAAGTCAGGTAGTGTAATACCTGCAACTCTATTCTTTTTTTTTTTTTTCAGGATTGCTTTGACTGTTTGGGGTCTTTGTGTAACAGGGTGTAGCCAAGGCAGGGCCCCAAATAGGGATTTGTAATGGGGTCCAGAACTCGGCATCCAGGAAATATTAGAAAAAAAAATATATATATATATACAGGAGGTCCTCACCCCAACAAGTCTGAGTTGAGCGATGGGATGCAGGGAGCAGGGCCATTGAAAGTTGTTTTGCATAGCAACAGTTTTGCAGCTAACCTCTACAATGGTCGTTTAACATATCTATAACCTTTAACCGGTTTCATAGATATGTTAAACAGCTGTGGCCATGCTCTGAGCCAGGGGGATGGGAGTAGGCAACTCCTCCTCATTATAGAGCCTGCGTGAGAGCTTGGAGATGATTGGCTCCACACCACATGGCCACACCTGCCCAGATTTACTGTGGCAGCCCAGTAAAGCTGAAAGAATACGGGAATGCTGGCAGCTGTGTGTGGCCAATTGTGGGAGGAGTCAGAAATGGTGTGGCAGAGGAAGATTGGCGCTGGGATTTAAACCCGGGCATAACAGCCATGGGGCTTCTTTTTGGGACCATGTGGCTTGGGCAGAGAAGAACCACGGACTTCTTCTATTTCTTTTTCTGAGATATGGTACCCTGGACTAGGCAGAGGGGGAAGGAAGAACTGTGCATTTATGGGTATTCTGAAGGACTTTGGGATCTCAATGAAGACATTAAGTCATTACTCTTAAATTTGTATAATTCTTTAAATAAGTAATCCTGTTCCTTTTCACCAAACTCTGGCATTGAGAGACATCTTTCCCTGGCAGTGGGCAAGGTGAACCTAGTATGGGGTGGGGGACCCCCGGAGCACAAGGGTGGGTCCATTTGGTAATAGTGTATCGTTCACCTCCCCCCAGGTCTGTTCTGTAACATTTGGGGTTCCATGCAAATCTGACTTTTTTGTTTTATTCATTTTTAAAATGTCTTTGGGATTTCGATGGAGATTGCACTAAATCTATATATTGCTTGGGGTAATATGGACATTTTAAGCATTTCACCCCAATACATTTAATTTGTTAAAAAGATTTGTTAATAAAAAAATAATAATAGGCATCTTGTTCCCTGAGCACCACACCACCCAGGCTCACATGTCTAATCATGCACTCGGATTTCTGTAACCAGTGGTTTTTCTGAGCCGCCTCACTTACGTCATCTAGTAGAGTCCTGGTCTGAAGAGTGATGTCTACGAAGAAGGAGCCCAAGCCTTTCCCTTGGGTCTTGCCCAGGATGACGGTCAGCGACTTCATGCTCTCCTGGATGACGTCACAGCTCATGGGATCGTACAATCCGTGGACCAGCAGGTCTAGCACAATTTTCTTATACTTTCTCACCTGTGATCAAGATTGCAAAAGCATGAGTTTCACAAGAATTGCTCCCCATGCGTTGAAAAGCAACTCTACTTCTAATTGTCCAACCACCTAGGACTTGAACTAAGAGATTATGGTTTTCTTTGGGATCTGCCACCACAACTCCCATCAGAAGACAAGCACTTCCGTGAACCTGACCCAGGAGCCCAAGTCAGTGTTAGAGGGAGAGCAGAGAGCGATGTGGAAGCATGGCCCATCCATGGCCGGACAAGGGTAGGGGGGGTGCGTGAAGGAGGGTGGTGGGCTGGATAATCTAGGTTTCTGAGGCATACTGGGGACAAGAAGAAATGGTCACTGAAGTTGACAGATGCCAAAGGAGGAAGTGGGGGGAACATTTTTACTAAACAAGCATAAGTTATTAGAAAATAAATTGAATTTACCAAAGAGGATTACGTCCAGCTGTGCGCTAATCCTGCCAGCAACTCTATTTCCCAAAGCTGATAATACTGAGGTGTGATGACCCTAAGATGACCCCAAATGAGTCACATCCTTGTGCAGTCTCCTTCCCCAGAGGGTGGGAGGAACCGCTGACTTGCATCTAGCCTATTGAACATGACGACATTCATGGAGGTCATTCCCATGGTTACTTACATTATGTTCCCTTCTGAGCAGAGAGGCAGGGGACACTCTTCTGCTGACCTTGAAGAAGTAAGCTACCATACTGTGAGTGGGCAGCCCCTAGGAGCTAAGAGTGCCCCCTCGCCGACTGATGGCCAGCCTGGACACAAGGCCCTCGGTCCTACAGCTGGAAGGCACTGAATTCTTCCAGCAGCCATGTGAGCCAGAATGAGGACCCCGAGCTCAGGAAGGAATGTAATCTGGCCCACACCTTGACAGCAGCCTCGAGGGACCCTGAGCAGGGGACCCAGCTGTGCCGTACCTGGGCTCCTGCCAGGTCTGGGTGAGCAGTTGCACGGCAATGACGACTGGTACCTGAGGCTCCAGAGCCCAGCCCTGGGGACGGCAGGCCACCTCCCCGGCCTACCTTGTGGGGTTTCTCACGGGCTATGGTCCCCAGGCCTCTCATGGCCATGCGACGCTTTTTAGCACTGGGGTCCCGGGCCCTTTGTGCCAGGATGAAAAACACATTCCTCAGAGGCTCCCACTTCCGGAACCTCAGTTTCCATGCGACCTGGGTGGGGAGTCAAAAATGTGTTGATTTGGGAGTGTCCAGAGTCATTCCCAGCCCCAACCACCATCCCTCCCTCAAGACAGGATCCTGTGTGGCCAGCTCAACTGTACACATTCCTTCTGCACACTCTCCATCGAAAGTCACCGGATTTTTTTGTTGGGAATACAGGGTGGGGCAAAAGTAGGTTTACAGCTGTTCATTTGGAAAATAATACAAGAATTAATAAATAACAATACAACAATAAACTGTGTTTTGCATACTCACAGCAGTAAACCTACTCCCGCCCCCCATCCTGTATATTAATTTGACCTACATAGTTAATTTCCTAACTAAGACTAGGAGAAGAAATGCAGAAGAAGGACACAATTGGGCAGTGCTGTGTGGCAACCCAGAACCCTGCACGTGGAGGCCTGGTCGCCGAGAACCGCAGGGTAAGAGCTGGGTTATCTCCGCGGTGTGCTCATGCACGGGCCCTGATTCCGGAAGGCCCTGAGGTTCTGCACAGCACAGGGCATGGCCGTGTGCCCCGGGCCCAGGGCCAGATGACACAGATGCAGATAACCTCCCAGAAAAGGCCACCTCTTCGCCATCCTCAGTTATAGGGTGGGGAGCCGGAGACCGGAGCGGCAGCCCCACTTGGTGTTTGAGTGATTATTGAGTCTCATTGTTATCTCTAAGTATTCACTGCGATTCCGTCTATCTTTTCATTATGAATTTCACAGACAGCTACATTCATCCTAATTCATCTTCTTGTGATTCTATAAATACCCTGTCTGTGTTTAAAGAGCTGTCATCAGACATTGTGTAGAAGAAGGGGCTTCAGCTGAATGGATGCAGACCAGGCAAGCACCTGGGTCACAAGGTGGCTGCTGGGGAGGGACGTTCGTTGACAATATTTTGTGTCAGACCTTGGAAAAGAAAGATGTCATCCATGTCCTTTTCTTCTTGGGCTGGGTGGTGGGGATGGGAAGGGGCTGGCCCAACATTCTTCTCTGTGTTTTGTCCTTGGAGCTGAAAAAAAAACCCCGCCAAAACCAAAAAAACCATCATATGAGCCACAAATACTCATCAAAGTCTCATCATCAACCTCATCAACCACCAGCATCATCCTACAAAGCATTGTGACAAGGCAGAAATATAAAGAAACAACCTCCCCAAGGCCTGTCCTTAGGAATCTGTCACCTTGGTGAGGAGATTAAGTGGCCACATGAAAAGATAAAGAGCAATTCTGGGTGGCCCAGGAGGAATCACAGTACAGGGTCCGTGTGCCCCTGGTTTCCGGTCCATCCCACAACCTTCCTATATCAAAGTCACCAAAAAACAAACAAACAAACAAACAAAAAACAGATACTGGGTCCCACCCACAGAGAGTTGAAATAAAAAAGTAGCCTGAAAAATCCTTTAAGGCTTCCCAAGAAGATAAACTCTTTCTGCCTTTTAGAGGAGATTTTTATGTCTCTTACAATGTTAAAATGCACATATCTTTCAGTGACTCTTTCATACACAGACACGTCCTGTGCTCAAAGATATTCCTGAAGGAGAGGCAGCAAAGCTTTGCAAGGAACAGCCTAATGGCCTTTAACAGTTGTACCATAGAGAAATTACACACGTGTACAATGACTATACAACCACAGACGGCCACTTTACAGCCGTTAAAAAAGTGTTGTGCCATCTGCGTGCTAAAACGATCTCCACAGTGAATGGTGGAGTGAGAAGGACAACTCAGTGTGTAAGTGTGCCGCCATCCATACAGACACGGAGCAGGGGAGGGAAATCAGTCGGTACGTGTTTGCTTGCACATGCGCAGAACACGGAAGAGTAGCCAGGAAACTTGGACAAAAGCTGTCTCTGGGTAAGAAATCTGAGCAACTGAGGCAGAAGCGAGGCTTATTTTTTTACTACTTAAAAATTACATATATATATATATATATATATATATATATATATATATATATATATACACACACATACATATATCTATACTTAGAGTCTGTCACTCTACCAAGTGTATATACTATTTAAAATGTGTATTATCAATAAACACAGCTTGAAGAGTGATTCTGGCCTCCAGCCTAACTGCAGGCCCCTGGTAGAAACCAGCGCTTCTCAGACTTTAAGGGGCATTTGAATGGTCAGAAGGTCTTGTTAAAATGCAGATTCAAGCTCTGGCTGGTGTAGCTCAGTGGATTGAGCTTGGGCTGCGAACCAAAGCATCGCAGGTTTGATTCCCAGTCAGGGCACATGCTTGGGTTGCAGACCACGGCCCCCAGCAACCTCACATTGATGTTTTTCTCTCTGTCTCTGTCTCTCTGTCTCTCTCTCTCTTTCTCCCTCCCTTCCCCCTCTAAAAATAAATAGATAAAATCTTTTTAAAAAATGCAGATTTGGACTCAGTGGGTCTGGGGTGGGGGCCCCAGATTGTGCCTTTCTGATAAGCTCCGAGGGGACACCAAGGCAGCTGGCCCCAGGACCACACTTCGAGTGTGAGGGTGAACAGTTAAGAGCTACAAGAATCAAGAGGACGGCAGCTGCAGCAGCTGGCAGAGGCTTCCCAGGGCTCATGAGTGAGCTTTAGGGAGACACAGAGCATATTGGACACGCTGGGATTCCAGTGGGATTTGTGAACAGGATCAAACTCGGAGAGCGGTGACAGGTGAGGCTGCAGGCAGTAAAGACCTGCTGGGAAGGACTTTGACCACTCGAGTTTAGTTTCAATTGTCTTTTGTAGATAAGAGTACACCATTCATTTTTTTTCACTGGGGTAAAATCCCCACAACATACAATCAACCATATTAACAGTGTCGTATGACCACCACCTCTATTTAGTCCTAAACTTTCCACAAGGAAACCCCATACCCATTAAGAAGTTACTCCCCATTCTGCCCTCTCCCCAGCAACCATTAATCTGCTTTCTGTCTCTATGAATTTACCTGTTCTGGATATTCTTTATAAATGGAGTCATTCAACATTGTGACCTTTTATGACTGGCTTTTTTCTCATCACATAATTTTTCTGAGGTTCCTCCATGCTGGATCATGTACTGGTGCTTCATGCCTTTTCATGTCGGGGTAATATTCCATTACACGGACATACCACATTTGTTTATCCCTCTGTCTGCTGACAGGCACTTGGGTTGTTTCCATGCTCTGGTTATTGTGAGTGGTGCTGCTGTGCGCACCGGCATACAAGGATTTGTTTGGGTATCTGCTTTCAGTTCTCCGGGGTGGACACCTGGGAGAGGAGCTGCTGACTCCGATGGCGACTCTGTGTTTATCTTTTTGAGGGACCGCCAAGCTGTTCTCCACAGGGGCTGCACATTCGACATTTCCATCAGCAATGTGCAAGGATTCCAGTTTCTCTACATCACTGGAAGTTGTTATTTTCCAGGTCTTTGAACTATTGTTATATCCACTCTTGTGGGTACGAAGTGACATGTCATTGTGGGTTTGGCCTGTGCTTCCCTAACGACGAATGGCACCTTTCTGTGTGCTTGTTGGTGGCTCGTGTGCCTTTTTCAAAGAAGTGTCTGTTCAAGTCCTTTGCCCATTTTTTAGTGGATGGTTCTTCTTTTTGCTTTTGAGTTGTAGAGTTCTTTATTTCTTCTGGATAGTAGGCCATTATTAAATAGATGACCCAAAAATAGTTTTCCCTCTGTAGGTTGTCTTTTTACTTTCTTAATGTCTTTGGATACACAGTAGTTTTTAGTTTTGACGAAGTCTAATTTATCTGTTTTCAGTGTTGTCGTTCATGGTTTTAGTGGTGTATCTAGGAATCCATTGTCAAGTCCAAGATCATAAAGATTCACCCTTAGGTTTTCTTCTAGAATTTTTATAGCATTGGGTATATTTAAATTGTTGATCCATTTTGAGTCCGTTTTTGTATATGGTGTGTGGCCACCCTACTGATTATTCTTTTTTTTCATTTTTTATTTTTTTATTGTATTTTTTTATTACCATTTATCTCCTTTATACTGCCCATCTCCTCACTCACCACACTGTTGCCCATGTCCCTGAGTCCTGAGCTTATTTAAATGCAGGAAGCTGGTAGAGCGCAGCCCTGTTACACAGCCACGCTCTGGGCCTTCGGCTCTGGTTGACCTGGAGGTACATGGACATTTGGTTTGTCCACCGTCTTCGCCTCCCACCCCCCAGCTGGTTTTGGTAATGCTCTCACGGGCGGAAGACACTGAGAGGTCCATGGAGGTGCCTCTTCTCCCCCAGCCCCCAGCCCTGCTTCTCCTTCCTCCCTGGTCATCAGACCTCCTCTCGCTGCTGCAACAAGGGACCCAAATAAAACCCCAGGAGACTGCAGCCCCACCAATTCACAAGATACTTTGTTTGTTTGAGTAAAGGCATTCCCATAAGCTCTCCATTCGGCCCGTGGTTCTCATATCTGAGTGTGCACCAGAATCACCTGGGAGACTTGTTGAAACACAGATTCCCCAGAAGCCTGGATTCTGTACGTCTGGAGCAGGGCCTGAGGTTCACATTCTAACAAGCTCCCGGGTGGCCAATCCTGGGAGGCAGGGATTGCACTTTGAGAAGCAACGCATGAAGAGGATGAAACTGGTGTTGCAACACCATTTCTCTCTAGAATCAAGGCATTAAAAGTGCATACTAGAGCAAAAAACAAAACACTACAACAACAGCAACAAACCATGCATGGAGATTTCTTTCCAGGGGTTTTCTGCATGCAACCTTCTGTTTCAGTTGAACCTGCCGCTCTTCAGGCCGAATGCTCGGGATCAGAGTTGACAGGAGCCTGACAATGAACATGGAAAGTCTGAAAGAAGCAGAACTGCCCTGGCTGGTGTTGCTCAGTGGACTGAGCATTGGACTACAAACCGAAAGGTCGCTGGTTCGATTCCTGCTCAAGGCACATGCCTGGGTTGTGGGCTGGGTTCCCAGTTGGGGGCTTGCAAGAGGCAACCAGTTGATGTTTCTCTCCCACATCGATGTTTCTTTTCCTCTCTCCTTCCCTCCCTCTCTCTAAAAATAAATAAATAAGAATCTTAAAAAAAATAAAATAAAGGCAGCAGAGCTTCCTCAGGCTGAGGGCTGCTCACCAAGGAGAACACAGGCCTTGCTCTCTGTTCTGAGACATAAGAAAGTCATGCTTGAAGCTTGTCCCCCTTGGGATGACAGCAAACTTGGTCCTTTGTACACAACTCCTCTCGTAGGGTCAGCAGAGCCAAGGCTGACTTCCCCACGTCAGAAGCCAAGCACCCAGACCGTGCATCCAGGAAGAAAGAGCCTGCTGTCTCCAGCGTGGCAGCGATCTCTCCGGACTCCCCGCAGCCAGCGGCCAGGGAATATGTGGATCCCAGCATGGGGTCATTGTGCTGGAGCTGTAGGGCAAGCGCGCTCCAAAGACCTGTAAGCACTTTGCTAAGTTGGCGCATCAGGGTTACTGCAATGGCACCAAATCCCACAGAATCATCAAAGACTTCGTGATCCTGGGAAGGGACCCAACAGGAACAGGTCGAGGTGGTGCATCTATCTAGGGCAAGCAAATTGAAGATGAATTTCATCCAGACTTGAAGTTCATGGGGGCTGGAATTCCTGCAGTGACCCATGCAGGGCCAGATAGTAACGGCAGCCAGTTCTTTGGGGCCCAGCTCGCACCCAGCGGCTTGACAGCAAACACACCATTTTGGGCTGTGAGCACCAGGTGTAGGATTGGTGACTCGCGTAGCAACGATGGGAGCAAACTCCCAGGACTGCCCTGTGGACAACATGAACATCATCAAGGCATACACCTTCTTCTGAGTGGTCTTGCTGCTGTCTTAGCACCACTAGGTCTTTTGAGACAGTCCAGCAACACAGAACTCTGAACTTCCCTTTGACCTTGCAAATCATGGAGCTAAAGAAGCCCGGGGTCTTGGGTGAGTTAGAGGTGGAAGTGTATTTTAACAGGATGCTTCTTTTCGCTTCTCCCTGAGCCTGGGCTGACGGAGCATTTGCGGAAGTGCCCACACGTGCCCACACGCAGGGTCCCACTCACTGCAGACAACCCATGCAGCTCCTCCTTCCCTGCATCTGCTCGGAACAGAATGAAGCCAGCTCCGTCATTCCGCAGGGTCGCACCACACTTCTTTCTGCGAAGAGTTTTCTGCTGGCCTACACTCCAGCCTTCGGGGGCTGCTGGCCACAGAACTCAAAACCAAGTAGTGTCCGTCATCCTCCCGAACTCTGTGCACACCCCACTACACCCTCCTCTGTCTGTTCTTCCCCGGAGTGTCCGCATGTCCATGTATATTTTCCCTCTCAAAACCAGAACATCGACACTGCTGTTTCTGACACTTGGGCAGCCCACACAAAGCCACCGTGGATTTTTGCCACATGAAAAATGCACCCAACAATCAAGTTTCTTAGCAGGTGTCAAGTGGGGAATGATAATGTATCATAATCACGAAGTGGATTTGTTAGAAGGAAGCAGGAACGTTGACCATTTTTACCCCAGGAAGGAGCAGAAGTCCGTAGTGAGCATAAGGACACACTGTGAGTTCCCCTTAAAATGCAGTATCTTCATAAAGGAGAAGCACCACTGAAGTTTTTTTAAAACCTAAGACTTTAGAGAAACTAAGAGTTTATATGTTTTTTCTTCATCTTTCTGATTTATTTAGGGGAAGTGATGAAAGGAAGTTAATACCTGTGTAATACATAGCAATTTCCTACATAAAATGTCACTGACAGTCAAAGAAGAAAAAGAAGCAGCAGCCACCAAGCATCCAGCCTTGTCACTTCTTAATGGCACATCTAGAATCTAATGTCACAAAAAGCTGTCAAGCAGGACAAAGTAAAGAAGAGCTGAGTGTTCTGCAGGGCAGATTCAGCACGTGGCTAGCTCCCCACCTCCGCTAGCAAACACCTCCCCAGCTCCCCGCCTCCCGGCCTCCCCACCTTCTCACCTCCCTGCCTCCCCGCCACCCCACCTCTCCATCATAAGTTTAAATCTGATCTGGTTCCATCTCACAGGTTGCCAGGCTCATCTTGATCTTGGGCGCAGGGAGAGCATTTCTCACAGTCGCCTGGACCTCCTATTCCAGAGGCCCTGGGGTGCTTGTTATAAACTGCAGGCCCGGCCCATAACGATTGGATTTGAATCACAGGAAGCTCAGGGCCTGCACAATGCACGTTTTTACAAGGTGCCCAGTGATGCTACACACATGCTGGTGTCTGGAACCTCGGCCCTGGAAATGGAGTAACCGCAGAACTGGAACACTCCATTAACCCGAGGCCAGGCAAGGGGGGCAGGGGGCGGGGTCAGAGGAGCAGCTCCGCCTACCCAGGGTAAGCCAGGGCAGAGCACCAGGGCCTTTGCAGAGAACAAGGGATTGAAGGCATGTGTTTGTGAAGCACAGTGAATTTCACTTTCAAAATAAAACGAAAATTACATTGAGCTGTACAGACATGATTTATACACTCTTCTTGGATGCTATTCTTAAATAAAAAGTTTCCTTTAAAAAAATCAAACAAAATGGCTTCTGGTCCAGATGGTGGAGTCGGTAAATGAAGTTCTTACATCTTCCCCAAACCACATCAAAGTTACAACTAAACTACAGAACAACCATCATTTAGAGCAGCCTGGAATCTAGTTGAACTGAAGCCGTACAACTAAGGATGTAAGTGTCCCGTGAAAAGCAAGAGGTCCCAGCCCCACACCAGGGTCCCCAGCCCAAGGTCCCAGTGCCGGGAAGAGAAGTCCATACAACATCTGGCTGTAAAAACCAGAGGGGACTGTGACTGAGTGAGACCGAGGCTTCTGGAGTCCGGATATTCCTCTTAAAGGGCCAGCACATAGACTTACTCAGACTCGCTTGCTCTGAGCCCCAGCATTGGGGCAGCAGCTCGAAAGGCACTAGGGACCTACGGGGAGGAACTAAATTGTCCGGTTTCAGGGAGAGAGCCACAGGGGCAGCTTTCTCCCAGAAGGAAATGCTGGTAGATGCCATTGTTCCTCTGCTGAGCCCTCCTCCACAGAGCTGGCAGGTGGGCGCCATATCTGAGACTCCATCAACCTGGCTCACACTGTTCACCCAACCCTGGAGATTCCCTGAGGCCCTGGCCCCCACAACTTTGCCTCTTTCCAGTGGCTTTTCCATTCAAATAGCCCATTTTGGCTCATGATTCAAACTTTCCTAAGGTACACTATAAAGGTCAAAATTACAAAACACTTTGATCTTATCTGTAAAAGGAGGGGAAGAAACCATGCAATTACTAACAATCCTGTCAACTCTGAACATATTGATGGTGACAATAATGATATTTATTGCACGATTTGTCGCACATTTGTATATGCTGAGTACTATATTTAGCATTTTGCATACACTGCAGGAGAAGCTGCTTTTGCTGACCTCTGCTTAACCAACGAGCCAGGTTCCAGGCCCCCTGTGAATGGAACCAAAAAGTTTTGTGGTGGACAGTACTCACTCCCAACTTCTACTGCACTCATCCTTATATGCGTAGCTTACTAGGAATCAGGTTATGACAGCTGGGCTTGTTATTGTAACTGTGAAATTTAAATGCTACAGAAACTCATGAAATATGTGCATACAAAGAAAGTTGTTTCTATGAAAGCAAGGTGGAATGTTTTGGAAAGATTCACCAATGGGATGCTGTTAAAAAAATTGCTATATAATGAGGTATGGACACTAAAAGTTTTGCAAAAGTTTTAATAATCTGGAATGATTATTGAAATTAGAATGATTTTGCAGAAAGTGATTTTATCAGCGTCTTCCCAGATGTCTTTACATTCTCATGACACTGAAAGAAACCAGAACTTATAAATGCAATATTATGTGTGTGGCTTATGCAAAAAGGACAACTCAGAACACACCAATGAGTGGATTCATATGCAAAGAAGAGGCTATGTTCCTGCATTAAACATTGGGAAATTCTGCCCTGGCTGGTGAGGCTCAGTGGGTTGAGTGCTGGCCTAGGAACCACAGGGGCACTGGTTTGGTTCCCAGTCACGGCACGTGCCTGGGTTGTGGGCCAGGTCCCCAGTGTGGGGCATGCAAGAGGCAACCACACATTGATGTTTCTCTCCTCCCTTCCCCTCTGTCTAAAAATAAACAAATAAACTATTTTTTAAAAAAGATTGGGAAATTCTATCTTTTAAGGTAAAATAAATTGAGGTATCATCTCTTATCATTCTCTCCTTTAACCAACTTCTTTCATGAATGCTCTAAAATCCAGTCTCGATCTCTGAAATGTGAGGCCTTTTCTGTACGCCATTTAATTTTCACGATGACCTTGAGGAGTAGGTGTAATGCTGCCCACTTCAGAGAAGGGTAGTGGGGGCTTTGAGCAGCATTAACAACTCACCCAAAGTCAAATAGCTAGTGGTGGCAGAGCGAAGCCCCAGAATCGATCCTTGCCGTCACTGCGTTCTAAGTCGTGGTGAGCTCTTAGTGCGTCCAGTGTGCCGACCCCCTACCACACACTCCAGTTTGCAGCATCGGTGTCTTCCCTTCAGTCCCCTCCATCCTAGAGCGCTGTGCTGACTTACTACAATGACCTACAGTCCGTGTATTGATCATAGGCAGATTGGTAACGATCGGGTTAGAAGAGCGTGTGAAAAGAAACAAAGGGTGGGGAAGGCTGCATGGTCAACATCGCCCACTTCAGTTTCACACACGGAATGTCAACGCGCTCTGCTATCAGTGACCAGAATGACAGTCCTGAGAGGGTTGGGGAGCCCCAGTGGACCGGAGCCCCGTCCTGCCGCAGTCTCAGCTGCCCCTTACCTGCGGCTGTCACGTGGGGAGGTGCCGGCGTGGGCAGGTGGGGTGCTGGTCCTGGGGGCCGCTGTTCCTGGGGTGGTGGCCAGATGAGATGACTCGGCTCAATTTTCCTAGCCCTGCATTCCTAACACAGAAAAAGAGAAATGAGAAGGTGAAGCAGGGTCTGTTCAGGACAACAGGTCGCCACAGGGTGTTGGAAAGTAAAGGGGAAAAAAAATCAAAGTTTAGCTGGTGTTGGGATGGGGGGAGGAATTGCCATGTGATACCAACAAGGTTGTTCTAGGTGGACACAGCCGTCCCTTGTGCCCTTTACTTCTCCAAGCCTGTGCTGAAGTGTTTTCCCTCCGCCCCCTTGCTGTGTTTCCCCCCACATTCTTCCCCTCGTCCCGGGGCTCACCCACTTTTTCTAAAGAATGGACGGCAATTCCGAGGCTCTTCCCCAAACGGCTCTGCCCAGTACCGTTCCCCCGTGCCGCCACTAGATGGCGGCATCACTCAATGGACGGGTTCCAGGCAGCCTGGGCACAAAGCCGCCGCTGGGCCGCTTTCTTCCTTAATCCTGTTAGAGCAGCATCTAATCTAAGGATGGGACACTGTGTTCCCGGGCCAGGCGGCCTCTTTGTGGCTGATTGGAGCACCGACAACTAGAGCTTTAACTCTCGATGCCCCTTGCTGCTCACAAACACAGGACTGGAAAGGACGCATTTAAACTCTCAACAATGTGAATGAGTTATTGGTAAAACAAATCAAACCAAAAAACCTGAACTTAGGTCATGGTACGTGCAGAATTTGGGAGCATCCCTCTGCCCCATCATTCCTCCTTCTCTGGATGTTCCCACAATGTGCACAAATCCATTTATCAATTATTATCTATTGTCTGGCCCTGTTTGGGATAAAGGGGGCAGTATGTCCTAAAAGGATAAAAAATTACACTTTCAAAGCTCTAGAGTATGTTGTTGTGCTAACAGATAATATTTATTAAATATTTCTATGTGCCAAACATTGGAATAAATATTACATAGACTACCTTCTTTGATTCCTACATCAAACCCGAGGTAAGCACTCTTATTATGACTCCATTTTAAGGATGGGGAAACCGAGACCCACAGGCCATGCATTTTGCCACCAGCAGAGTCAGAACCCATCCATGGGCTGGCCAACGTCAGAGCTCAGACCCCTAGCCACAGTGCCACACAGGGGCAAGTTTGGGAAACCCAACCAGGTAACACGTGCATCGGGAGGGAAGGCTGGAGGAAAAAAGTGGACAGAAAGAAAACTAATGCTCCAGCGAAAACAAGAATGAGGAAGAAAAAATGCCCCTTTGGACTGGGCCCACAAGGCTGCCCCACCCCCGCCCGACCTCTGTGAATGCAATTTCAACAGCGAGGGACAAAGGAAGCTAGCAAACCCAAGGGGCTGAGTCGAAAGAGGAAATTGAGATGTCTTGCTGCGAAAGGAAAGCAATAAATAGAGGCGAAGAGGCAGCAAGGTCAAGCAAAGGCACTTGGGTTTTCTCGTGCGCTTTCTCAGACAGAACGCAGCTGGGGCCTGTTAGAAACCCCCTTGAAGGGAAACCTGAGCTGTGGTGGGGCAAGCAGTGAGGAGTGAAGCAGGGAGAGGCCAAGGGCGGGACCAAGGGGCTGAGAAAGGGTTCGCTCTGGAGAGGAAGAAGGCTGCTTCCGTCCTTTCTGTCTGCAGCCGGCAGACAGACAGACGCAGAGACGGAGTCGTGTCAACAGAAACTGAGAAAGATGAGCAAGGCATCAAATTAGCCTTTATCTTTTCAGCAAAACCAGAGGTGGATTTTCTGCCAAGAGTGGGAGTAACACATTCACAATGAATCACCCCTTGTGTCTGAAGCTTCTTTATAGTCTGGTGTTGAGGCATTTGACAGAAAAATAGTCTTTTTCTCCGTTGCCGAATGGGAAAACTAAAGTACAAACAAGCCTTCCTGTGTTGCTTAAAGCCACAAAGAAAAGCAGGGGCAGAACCAGAACTGGTACTTGGAAGCCTCTCTGACCCGACTTCACCTCAATTAAACACTTCCCAGGAAGGCCATGGACGGAGCTAACGGCCCAGAGACGCCCAGGCACCACACAAACTCGGGAATCATCCAAACCAGGACCTGACGGCTCAGAGAACAAAACCTCTTCTAATGTAGCCTCAGGGAGTTCTTCTGGGAATTAGAGGGGAGTTCCTTGGATGACGCAATTGCAACATATTGACCTACAGATGACATGACACCCTTCGACACACCGCAATTATGCATTCGATTGTTTAACAACTCTTTTCATCTTCAATTAGCATTTTCTTTCGGTCAGAAATACAGGGTGGCTGATGCAACTGGAAAAGTCAGGAAGGGAGATGATTTCATTTACATTCCTTGTGAAAGTGGCAGAAGTCAACCAATCAATGATTCACTTTCAATTTAGACTTGGGAGAGAAAGACAAATGACAGTCACCCGTGAAAATGGTTTCTCTCCTGTGTTAGAATTGTCAGAAGGCCCTCCTTCCGTGATCCTGCATCGTCTCATTGGGGAACTTGTCGAAAAGGGATGGTTTTAGTTTCTCCCTCCAATCTTCGTTCAGGGTATACCCCCAGCCAGGCCACACCCTCTCTTGATCTTTACTTCCAAAACAAAATAAAATCAGTGCCTCCTCAGCCACAAATTAGGAGTGCCAGCCTCTCGCTCATTCGTTCTTCATTCTTTCAGTGTTTATTGAGATCCAGGTTTCAACAAGACAGAGTGCTTGTCAGCTGGGACCACACTCGGGCCCTGCCCCCTGCAGAACTGGCCAGGACAGGTGTTGAAACGTGGTCTCGTGTGTCCGTAGGGATGGACAAGTGCCACAGAGAGGAGCTGACAGAGGGTCAGGGCAACAGGTGGTCCACCAGGGAAGGAAAGAGCACCTGTACCTGGGCTTTTCAAAGACAGCTCGGCAGGGAGAGATGGAGACAGAAGGTGCTCGAGGAGGCAGGCATGGGACAGCTGCGGGGCCCAGCCGATGACCTGTGAGCCAGGCAACCTGAGGCTCCCTGAGTTCTCCCACCAGCCGCCTGTGCTGCGGACGGCAGAGCGCAGGGCTGCCTGCTGCGAGCTGACATCCCTGTTTGTTCCCCACTCCACTACACATCTGGCTGGTTTCCACAGAAAAGCAATGGTCTTTTCCCTCAAGTCTTTGCAGGAAGTAGATGCCATGTGGAGAAGCACCTGGTGTATCTCTTAGTTCCAGACACCCCCTGGCAGGGGGAAGGAGGAGCCTCCTGGGGCCCCGCCTCCTGATGCCCAGATGCGATGGGGGAGCAGACGGAAAGCTCTCCAGTTCTGCCAGCTCTCTGAACAAAAAGCTGCTCTCGGCCCTGTCCTTGTCCAGCCCTCCTTCTGGCTGTCCTGCCTTCCATATTCTCCAGACTTTACTCCTTGACTGTCATGATTAGCACCAGAATGCAAGAATGAGCTCGAGTTCTCTCACATGCAGAGCCTGGAACGATCTCTGAGAGCGGTTTGCTACTCACTTGACCCAGAAAACCCCACAAGTCAAGAGGTTCAAATCTCCACATTTACTTTATGAACATCCGCGACACTGCCCAGTCCACCAGAGACAGGCAGAGCTGAAAAGCCACCAAGTCCCTGAAAGATGTCACTTTACAGAAGCAGTGCCTGACGTTCTACCCTTATTACAGAGCTGGAAGCCCCAGGCAAACAGTGGGGCAGGACCCAAGGGGGACAGCCCCCATAGAGTGCAGAGTCATTGCTGCACCCGTTTAAAATGCAGAGAAATGCTGTGCGTCAGAGTTTAGGCGTCAGCTCTTCGGTCTTAGCTCATCCAGGTGAACAAAGCCCCTGGGACGCGCCTGCAGACTGATAGAGGTCATGGTCGGATTAACCCCTAACATGAACCCCTCCTGCCACATTGAAATAGGTGGTCCTTTCTGAACAAGAGCAGTTTGCTGCCCAGAAGGAAAAGATATCCCCCCAAGAAACTGAAGAAACAAAAGCATATGGCTTAGGAATAAAATCAGCATAAAATAAGTGCAAATAAACACCTTTCCTACCTGAGACGTTAATTACTCTCAAGCCATCACCAACACCGGCACTTCCAAAAAAATAGTCATAAAGTTAGGTGAACATGTTCAGCCCGACTGGTTAAAGCTATAGCAACCAACAAACTGCGTGGAACTGCAAGGTTGAAAAGAACTCGGATGAACCCCGGCGTGCTGCGGGCTTTCTTACCTGGGCCGAGCCGAGAGGAGGGCGGCCCGCTGGCCCCAGGCTCAGAACACATCCTGCAGGAAGGCACGAGTGACCAGCCCCGGGAACGGCACTGTCCTTTAAACGCGCTGGGGAGGGTGGCAAGCTGCATGTTGCCCTTGAAGATGAAACATAGAGCAGATTAGTTTCATCACAAGAGGGAAACACAGAACAAGACTGTTCCTGGCTATCTGTCCCTGATAATTGCTGCAGATACATTACACACACCAGGCGGTGTTGCCAACTTGAAAGGTTCTCACGTTACTTTCCTGATGCTGCAGCGCCCGTGGAGGCAGCTGCACGTGCTCTGTGGTGGCAGAGAATCGGATCAGCCCCCCAGGCACGGCCTTGTGTCACTTCGTCCCTGCTTCTGACACCCCAAAGCATTCTCACGCTGCTTGGTCACCTCCCATGCCTCTCCGACGGGCAGGGAGTCTGGGGCGGGGGGACAGGAGCACAGGAGACTGGGCGCTGCTTCCTCTCCTGCTTTGACCAGCTGGAGTCCTTCTGTGGGCTCTGCCGCTTGCTCTAATGGCCACCCGTGTGCCCCACGGCCTTCCTTTCTCTTACCCCTCTCTCTTTTCTCACCTTGTTCTCACCTCCGCCCCTCTCCCCCACCATCCTCGTCTCTGCTTAAGTTTGTGGTGGACGTTACCTAGCACGTGCCTTCCCCTGGACCTAACCTGCAGCATCCCACCGAGAGACACACGTCTTTGTGCCTCCCACAGCCTGCGCGACTGTGCGGGTTGGCCCCAGGTAACTTATGAACACACGTGAAGGGCTGCATCCAGATAAACGTAGTAAGGTGCTCACTGAAACACTGTTGGCCACAGTAAAACCGTGTTGGGAATGTCCAGCAGCCGAGGACAGGTTAGATGAATAAATTGGGGTACCCTCACACAACGAGTACCAGGGAGCATGATAAAAAGAATACAGTAGATATGCTGATACAAAGGGATGTTCAAGGTATATAATTAAGTGGAAAAAGCAGGGTTTAAAGGAGAATATATTATCATTCAATGCATGTAAATTTTTTTAAAGAAATATATGCTAAGATAGCCAATTTTATTTTCTGAAAAGAATCTCAAGCAATCATTAAAAGGAGTTTCCCTTGAGGAGAGTAATTGGATGAGGAAGAAAGCTTTTAGTTCAAATGTATACATTTATGTGTTGTTTGAATTTTCTACCAAAAGCATTTATTGCTTTCCATTTAAAAAACCAACAGGGATTACTGGAATACACAGCTAGAGGTCTTTGTTTTTCTTACACTTTTAAGCATAAAAAAAAAATCAGAGAAGTGTTTTTAATTGCTGTGTACATCCCCCCCAGAATATATTTTAAAAATAGATTCAAGAATGCTTTGTTTGCTTGTTTTGTTTTGCTGTACAGCAATGGGGCTGAGGAGGGGAAGAGGGGGGTGGGGTGGGGCGTGAAGCAGAGAGGCCGAGTCCTCGCCACCTCTGTTCTCTGGGGCACTTTTACCTCTCCGTTCTCGCTTCTGAAACCAAGTGCTAACTCTATGCATCTACTGGACAACGAATACATTTAATTCTGAAACAGGAGTGTCGTCAGCCTCACTTTCTTTTGTTAATGCGCTCCTGTTTGAGTGGGGAGTCAGCGCCCCCAGAGTGCTGCCTTCCTTTTAAAAGCCAGGGACCAGTCAGAAAGCTACCAACTGTGTGGCTCCTTCGTTTGAGGGGTCTGGGGGTGGGGGGCGACAGCACAGAGGAAAGAGGGTAGCTGGCGTTCCCTCTTTGATTTTGGTCCCGAGAGAACAGAGAATTCCAGCTTTCCATTGTTTCTGAAATTTAAACCTCTGTAAGAATAAAAGTAAAGCTGAATTCCTTATTACAAATTTTGTGCGAATAATTTATTTCCCCGAATGAACACTTTTTAGGCTATAGATACATTATTCAAAAAAAAAAAGATGGTGAAAAGATTTTTCTTGGATGAGGAGAAATGACATTTAATATACTTAAGTAGCATAGCAACCCCAAATCTAGCAATAGAGTGACTTTTATATCTTTTTTTTTAAAGTAACTATTTGTATTTCTTTAAAAAAAATCCCTTCAGGAAGGGATGTAGGAGGAGAGTATTCTAAAAGTTATGAATTTTACAGAATGTTTTGTTCCTCGGGGTTTCACAGTGTGAATCAGGCATTTGTTCTAGGGTCAAGGGTACCGGACCCTGATTTTGACTACAAGTCGTACACATTTGGATTGGGTCCCGTGGATCCCGTTCTGCTGCACGTTGCAAATAGGTGTTAAATAGTGAATTCATTTCTGGGCAAGGTCTTCTCTGAAGCTGTTAACGTAACAAACGCTCTTTTATACCTTGCCGAGTTTTCTGTTTGGTGACTGATTACTTAGAGCCCCACTATTTATTTGCTGACCGCATTTGCCTGGCTTGCCCTGACCAGGTCATTAAATAAATATTCACTCATTCAATAAACATTTATTGCATCTGCTCAGTGCCAGGCTCTTTGCCCAGGGCTAGGGCGTCGGGGATATAAAGATAAAAGTGCAGATAAAAACTACTGGCTTCCTGCCTCCGGGAAGATCTCGAGTTCCTGTGCCCAGCGCCTACACGTTCACTCTGTGCGGTCAGGGCCAGGGCCAGGGCCAGGGCTAACGGAAGACCAGAGGGACACCGTTTCAGGAGACGCCATCGGGGGGCGTGCCACGTGGGTGGGCCCTGGGAGTGAGGGTCTCCGGACACGCTGAGCAACAAGGCCCCTAGCTCCGCCCTCCCCTGGCCCCGAGTGCGGCAGTTTTCACAGCAGGCAGAGCAAGATCGTTCTGCGTCATTTCACAAGAGACAAAACAGAGACTCGGAGAGACTTAATTAAGAATACGTGGACATCACGTGGCAGAAGCCGGCCCTCAGCCTAAAACAATGGCTCCCACTTCTTTAGTGATTCTATGTGCATTAGTCTCAGAGAAGCAGAACCGTGTGTGTGTGTGTGTGTGTGTGTGTGTGTAGAGAGAGAGAGAGTTAGAGACTTATTTATTTTAAGGAACTGGCTCACAATGGAGGAGGCTGGTGATTTCAAAATCTGATGGGCTTGCTGGCAGACTGGAGGCTGAGGGGAGAGTTGAAACCCAAAGGCAGTCTCCCAGCAGAATTCCTGCTGGCTTAGGGGAAGTCAGTCCTTGTTCTGTGATGCAGGGTTGTCAAACTCATTTGCACGGGGGGCCACGCCAGCCTCGGGGTTGCCTTCAAAGGGCCGAATGTAATTTTAGGACTGTGTAAATGTATCTACTCCTTAACAGTTAAGTGAGATTGCTCGGCGCTGCTGCTGGGTAGAAACAAGGTGCCGGGCCGGATAAACAAGGTGGAGGGCCGGATTCGGCCAGTGTGTCTTGTGTTTGCCACCTGTGTATTATGGCCTTCAACTGATTGAGTGAGGCCCACCAAACATTTTGGAGGGCAATTAGCCTTACTCCAAGTGCACCCATTTGAGGTTTAATCTTACACAAACAAACAAACAAATAAATAATAAACATCCAGGATAGTGTTTGACCAAACAGCTGGGCACCACGGCCCAGCCAAGCTGATGCATAAAATGAGCCCTCGCAGTATCAAACGCAGTAGCACCTCCATCGTGTGGCTTGGAGGCCACTTGCTCTTCACTGTTCCTCTTTGCTGCCGGTTATGTATTTTCCATCCTCCGTCAGGAATGGAGCCTCTTCCCCTCCCTACCTCTGCTCCAGGGCTGGCCCCCCCGGGCATCCCTACGGAAATCCCCGAGCTGACTCCTTTTCCTGAGCCAGCAACGCGTTACTTCGGGGGGCTTCTTTCAGGAGTGCTGAAACCACTGTTCCGCTTCAGCGGCTCCGTGCGGCTCTCGCAGGGAGCATGCTCTGGGTCCGAGGCACTCGCTCTCGGGGTCGTGCCGGTGCAGGGTGGGCACCCACGCATGGGGGCCTCGGTCCGTGTTGAGCTCTGGGGCTCCCAGCGCCCCCCCCATCCTGGCTGGCCCGTGCCCTCACCTGGCCACCCTGCTGCCTGTCCTCTCCTCGCGGCCTCCTCCTCCCTTCAGCCACCTCACTCCCAACTCACGAACGCACTGTCTCATCCCCATCAGCTCTCGTCCCCATCAGCTCCTGTCTCTTCTCCAAAAACAGCTACGCTCAGTGTCTGTTTTCCAGGCCTGGGAGTACGAGACCCTCCTTGTAATCACGTCTTCCAGGCCTTGTTCGAACCCCACACGGAAAGGTCCCTCTAGACCTAGCGGCTTTATCAGTGTCTCCCAGGGCACTAGGCCCTCCTTCGATGGCCCTGATCAGCAGCCACTTTGTATTCAGATGATTACTGCGTAGCAGGCTATCTCTCCGGCCCTTGGCTGTGAGCCCACAAAGCACAACACAGCCTGTGTCTCGGTGGGACCTGCCTCCAAGGCTGGGGCATCGGCCCAGCGCTGTGCATGTGGTGGGTGTCCCAGTCTCTCAGGCTGCATCTGAGATCTTGCTCCCGGCCTTGTGTCATCAGTTTGGCTCAAATAAACTTACAAAAATTCTGTAGGGAATTTTTCAGCCGAAATAATTTGAGGGCTGTGTAAGTGTAACTACTCCTTAACTTTTAAGGACTTGAAATTACATTCGACCCTTTGAAGGCAATCTCAAGGTTGATGTGGCCCCTGGTAAGAACGAGTTTGACACCCCTGCAGGTTTGAACGTTTCCTCCATCGACAGTAATAAAACTTTACTGATTCTCATAATTTGGAATTTATGCAGACAGGGTTAATTTGAAGTTTGGCTTTTCTGACAAATAGCAGCAATTAATATATATGCAAATTAATGGGGGAAATGTTCAAATATCTTAAAGAATCAAAGATTTTTAAAGCAACTTCTAGTATTTAGGAATATCCTTTTCACACACACAAAAAGAAGACTGGTGTGCTAATTAGAAACAAATCTTATGTATTTATTAAGGCAAGATTTATAAGGTAATCTAATATTTTTATTAATTGAGATACTGTACATACTTCAAAATAATGAAATACCATTTCCCTTACATATGATATAATTTAACTTTTTCTTTAATTTAGATCCCCTTCAATTTAGTGCAAATGAATTCATTTCATAATAATGAAGACACTGTTCATTTGAAGACTAC